TGAGAAATCAAAAACGAAAAATGAAAACACTTTAGTTTATCGTTTTGGTTTTTGAGAAATCAAAAACGAAAAATGAAAACACTCTCGTTTTTTGTTTTTTGTTTGTGATATTTCAAAATGAAAAACGAATGGACGCAAATATACACGGACCGTTTCCGTTTTTAGTTTTTGATTTCACTAAACAAGAATTTTGTATTTAATTTTAATTATTTCTCGTTTTATAATGTACAATGTTTTCCTTTCTTGTTTCACAGTTAAAGCACGAGTGCAACTTTTTTTTCTTCTAATGCAGAACAATTGTTACTTTTCATGAACTATTTGACAGGATGCCGAGAATATGGAAAGCTATTTCACACAATAGTGCAATTTTGCCAACATTTAAATAATTTCATAATTATTTAAGATTCTATATACACTCAAAAGTGTTGACTATTTGAAATGTAAAGCGTGCAGCACGCTGTGTGATGTATTGAAAGCGATTTCTATTGTATTTATATAATTAATGAACAAGAAATATAGTGTCTTTGACTGCTTAATTATATATCAAAAACTGATAATATAGTGGTTATATATTAATAAAAACATTTGAAGTACGTTTGAATCTTATGCAACATTTGGGTTTATATAAATATAGCCGGGTAAAATGGCGTTTCGGCTAAATGGAAATCAAGAAGGAATATTTCGCTCCTTAAACTTTTATTTTAGCAGTCCGGCAAGACCGAACAACAACTCCAAATCAAAATGTAAAATAACATACAAACAATAACAATATATATAAGCACAAGCAATTAAAGGATTAAGAAGATTAACATATGCCAAAAAGAAATAACAATAGATTAAAAGAGTAATTAATGTCCGACACGTATTTGTAAGTTATTGTCCAAACTGTTACAGAGAATAAATAATTAAATGAATAGAGTAAATGAATTTAAGTCCTTTGTCCAAGATTATGACACATAATCCGTGTAAAACACTTATGCCTAAATTTACGACAAAGTTCAGAATAATAAAATAAATGCAAAACAGAGTAATTAATGTCCGACACGTATTTGTAAGTTATTGTCCAAACTGTTACAGAGAATAAATAATTAAATGAATAGTGACGTTACGCACGTTATTGCGTCAATACCGTGTAATCAACCAGTCCACACTAATAAACAGTTTTTCTATAAAATCATAACAGTGAAGTTATATAAATTTTTTATCCATAGACTAGACTAGTAAAAACTATTCCGAAAAAAACTACAAACTGTTTTATCATATTTTACAATAGTCTAAAATAAGGACAACATATTGACAAAACGTCCAAAATATGCGTGTCAGACGTAACAGACTATACGCATAATAACTTTAGCAGGGGTGTTTGTGTTCTTCAAAACAGTGTTATATCCGCGAAAATTCGAATGAATGATATGCTTTATATATAAAGTATTACAATATTACTGAATATGCGTTCCTGTAACAACCAACGCTATTTTTTGGCAAAAACAAAAAGTGTCCATTATGGGCAGATTTAGGAAAATCTTAAGTTATCAAAATTTATAGGTTTCAAAATGTAAGATTATATGAAATTTCGTTTGTGTAAATTATGCTCACAAAAGTACATATATAGACCATATCAAAATCGAATTTTCGCAGCATTCACATCACATATAAAAAGGCAACGGCTTCTGGCAAATGTCTTGCAAGATGTCCAATGTCGGATTTCGCCGCTTTTTACAAATAAACTGTCATTTGCGACGTTATTTATTGAAAATTGAGATTTGTTGCATGCTAAATATTGCTTTTCCGTAATTGTACTTTACCTCTACGAAACAGCTACATACTTTTTGATAATTTGCGTAGTCAAAACGACTTCGTTTTCAAAGAAATGAAATGTCTTGCAAGTTTGTCCACTGGACGATTTTCATACGTTTTGAACGTTGTAAATTCGGGACGCTATTTATGGTGGATCATCTGTATATTTCCTCAGATAGAATTTTCTTGATAGTCAGATACTATCAAAAATACCACAAAGTATAAAAAAAAAATCCGATGGCTGGGGTTGTTCCGTTAAGATGAGGTTCTTTAGTTGTGAAAAAATTGTGTATTACGAGAGGATAAAAAATAATGTTTTTCAAATTTTCAAATTTGGGGAGCGTAAAACTGCGATTGTTTTTATTTCTCTGCAATAAGATTCATATGTATAGAACTTGAAAGTAAAAATAAAATTAGACCTGAAGCGTGGCTATATACCTCTCCATATCATACAAGGCTTGTAAACATATATATGAGATGAATAGAATTAAACTTTTTTCTGACAATCGTTTCATCTCATAATCTAATTGTTCCGTTATTAAAGAAAGTACAGTGAATTTTATAAGCAAGACCCGTTTAACTTGTAATTCCCGACAAACATTTTTTAATTAAATCAAAATATATATCTTCTTCCTTTTCGGATCAAAATGGGGAAACATTGCATTTTATTACTTTTTGTGTCAATTGGTCTCTGGTAGAGAGTTGTCTCATTGGCACTCATCATACCGTATATATCTTCTTTTTCGTATAGACTTATGCATTACCCAAATACGATATATTTTGTTGTTTGTTGCATACGTTACTTTCAGTGGGAAATATTTCATGCATATTCAGTACAACCAAACATTAAGAAGTATCAATATCGATGTGCAAAACAGAAATTGCAAGCGAAATAAAAAAAATATCCCCAATATAATCATGATAATCATTAATCGCCGTAAAACGTAAAAAAAATGACGTTACCATTTGAGACGCAATATCGTGCGTAACGTCAGAGTAAATGAATTTAAGTCCTTTGTCCAAGATTATGACACATAATCCGTGTAAAACACTTATGCCTAAATTTACGACAAAGTTCAGAATAATAAAATAAATGCAAAACAAGAAAATACATTAAAACAATTGAATTCTTAAAATGTTGTTAAAAAACTAATTTCATTGCACAGTCCAAATTGTCCGGTCATATATTCCCGCGGCCCTTGAAGACACGACCCGGGTCTTACTGTTCATCTGAAGTTATGGTTCCGAAAGTTTCTTCTGTGGTTGTGGCGTCCTCTGTAACGATAGTTTTGGTTTTGATGATTATCTTCTCTTGTATTATTTCGAAAATTGTCCAATTCGTCTTCTAGTTTTGTGATTCGATCCCGCATATGTTCTTTGTCGCGTTGTAATTGGTATTGCTGGTCGATTGATTCACATCGTTGATCGTATATCCGAAAATTAGCTTCTTCAAGATCAGTAATGCGTTCCCGTAATTTTTCCATATCTTTTTTATCATCTGCACCTTGTTTTTGAAGTTTTTCTAGATTGCTAACAACACTGGTATGCTTTTGATTTAACTCTTTAAACTTCTTCTCATAGTGTACACTTTTGATTTTGAATTTAACTCTCTCGGAATTCACTCGGTCGTGCCTGAGTCTTACGTTTTCTATGAATTCCTTGTTATATTCTAAGGTTGGAAAGAAGTATTGAGTTCCGCACAAGGAAAAATTGACATAGCTTTCTGTTCTTTGAATTTTATCATTCTTTCTGCGTCACGACGTAATTTCGATTTGGATTTAACTTTAACGACTTTCACGTCCGGTTGTCTGTGAAAGTTGCACATTCTGGCGAAATGTCCAAAACTTCTGCACTTATAACAAAATGACGTTTTTGCTATACATTGTCTAAAATGAAATTGATTGTTCACAGTCTTTCCACAAAGCTTACATAGGCAGTTGTCCATATGTTGTGAATTTCTTGTCTGAAAGGAAGTTCCATGATCACACATCTGGTACCTCCAGTCTCGGCAAAAATTTCTGGTTCTCCGCGTATCCATTTTTCTGTTTGCTGGGGGGTCAGCTTCACAGGTAGAACAAGGTATCCGATAGATGCGTTGCCCGGATGTCCTAACACCAGATATAGCCGGGTAAAATGGCGTTTCGGCTAAATGGAAATCAAGAAGGAATATTTCGCTCCTTAAACTTTTATTTTAGCAGTCCGGCAAGACCGAACAACAAACTCCAAATCAAAATGTAAAATAACATACAAACAATAACAATATATATAAGCACAAGCAATTAAAGGATTAAGAAGATTAACATATGCCAAAAAGAAATAACAATAGATTAAAAGAGTAATTAATGTCCGACACGTATTTGTAAGTTATTGTCCAAACTGTTACAGAGAATAAATAATTAAATGAATAGAGTAAATGAATTTAAGTCCTTTGTCCAAGATTATGACACATAATCCGTGTAAAACACTTATGCCTAAATTTACGACAAAGTTCAGAATAATAAAATAAATGCAAAACAAGAAAATACATTAAAACAATTGAATTCTTAAAATGTTGTTTAAAAACTAATTTCATGGCACAGTCCAAATTGTCCGGTCATATAAACATCTGAAAACTGGCTGCTAGAGAAGTGGCTGCTAGCGAGTGGCTGCTTGCTTGAACCTGGTCTCACAAACTCCGCATTTTCATTCACGTCTTCACATTACAGGTTTCAATAAACGTTTAGTAAATTATGTCAATGTGAAGAAAATGACCCGTATTATGCCAACAACTGGTTTTAGAATTAATTAGTTTATTTCCGATGCAAAGACCTTATAAGTGAATCAATATTTAAACGAGGTCGCAGTTGAATTGTTATACAGAATTATCAGTGGCTGTTTTGAGTTAGGTCATGTTCCAGAACAGTGGACAAATGGCATTATCAACCCTATTCCGAAACCTGGAATGAACGACAACAGGTGCCCACTAAACTATCGTGGAATTACCCTTATATCTGTACCATGCAAGATATATTGTACCGTTCTAAATAATCGTTTACGAAAATGGCTAGAAGAAAATGAATGTCTATGTGACGAGCAAAATGGATTTCGCCGAGGAAGGAGTTGTGAGGAACATATTTTTACTTTATATTCAATTCTAAATGACAGGAAAATTAGTAGAAAATCTACATATATATGCTTTGTTGACATGAAAAAGGCTTTTGACACTGTCAGACGTGATTTGCTATTGTACAAACTTCAAACAATTGGGATACGGGGGCAATTTCTTAACGCAATAAAATCACTTATGAGGATGTTCGATGCGCAGTTAGAGTCAATAGAGAGCTTACCCCCTGGTTCCAAGTGTCTTCCGGTGTAAAACAAGGCTGTATTCTTTCGCCAACTTTATTCTCGATTTATATTAACGATTTGGCAGAAAAGATAAATGCATTAAATTGTGGTGTTAAATTTAACGAAGAAATCATAAACATTCTTCTTTATGCGGACGATATTGCACTTATAGCGCCCGACGAACAGAGCCTGCAACGAATGCTTGACACTTTAACGGACTGGTGCTCGTCTTGGAAATTGTCCGTGAATCCAGAAAAGACTAAAGTGGTACATTTTAGACCTCAATCGTTTAACTTGACGTCATTCCAATTCAAATGCTCAAGCAACGACATTTTTATTACTGATTCGTATAAATATTTAGGAATATGGTTGGACGATCACTTAACGTTTGATAAAACAACGAAAGAACTATCAAAGTCGGCTAGTAGAGCTCTCGGTGCGGTTTTCGCAAAATTTATTTCATCAGGCGGTATGTCGTACAAAGTATTTACAAAACTCTATAATTCAATGGTGGAGCCAGTATTGATGTACGGGAGTGTCATATGGGGAACAAAATCATATACCGTTATAAACACTGTCCAAAATAAGGCATGTAAATACTTTTTGTCCGTTGGTAAAAGTACGTCAAACATTTCGACACGTGGTGATATGGGATGGCTTTCTTGTCTCAGTAAGCAACGCATTTCTTGTATAAGACTTTTATGTAAATTAACACGGATAGACCAAAACAGGAAAATATTTAAGGTTTGGCGTTGGGCATCGAGACGGAAAAAAGGATGGAATTATGAAGTGAATAAAACTGTAAATTTATTCAATGTAAACGATGAAGTGGGTAATGTTACTTTGAATACTAAATATGTTATGAAAACTGTAACCGAGAAGATCAACCTTCTTGACAATGATGAATGGTATAACGAACTTTTTAATGACCGTGGACACCAAAACGGTAATAAACTACGTACTTATAGACAATTTAAACAGGAACGAAATACTGAACTATATGTTGCAATGTTAATACCTAGACAACATAAACGCGTTATGGCTCTGTTCCGCGCCGGATCGCTACCGCTAGCCATCGAAACCGGAAGGTATGCCAGGCCACCAATTCCAGTTCATAACAGACTTTGTGTGCTTTGTACGAACAATTGTGTTGAAACTGAAAAACACTTCCTTTTAAATTGTTCTCTTTATGATGACTTGAGATGGCTTTTATTTTCTGAATGTTCAAATTATATTGAAAATTTTGCTATTTTAGACGATGATCAGAAATTAGTTGAAATGATGAATTGTCCTGAAATTCAAGCATTTTTAAGCAAGAGTATTTTTAACTTTTTTATGAGACGAAAGTTATTTTTAGTTTGAGATACTAATTTTTATAGTTTTAGTAACCTTTAAATTTTACTACTTTTAAAGTCATGTGATATTTAAATGAAATAAATAATAATTTTTATCTATATAATTTATAATTTAATTTATTAAATGAATTTTTAATTGAATTTGTAATTATTTAAATGATAAATCTTTTTGAAATTGTACAAAAAACAAATTTTAGGAAATGTTATATTTACATATATTTAAATGTGAAATGTTTTGTAGATATGTGTCTCATAAGCCAATCTTATGGCTGGGTACTGATTGTTTTAATGTATATTTTTATTATGTCATTGTATAATGTTCAATCAGTATGTGACACAATAATAAAATAAAATTTATTATTATTATTATACAAAAATATTTCATCTTTAATGATTCCTCATGGGGTTTTTGATTATGTGATTACTTGACCGTTTTTTTTTATAGTGATTATTGATTACTAGACCAAATATTTCATGATTATTTGATTATCTAGGACTGTATTTTAGATTAATTGATTACCAAGTTTAAACAATAAATTTGTGTGTATAGCATACATATATAATTTGGCTTGAAAGACGTTATTTTTTTTTCGCCTCGTTCCGCTCGGTAAAATTGTTAAGAATTAAGTCCGAAGATTGAACGCGTTTGTCCAGTAATCTTATTAAAATTCATACAAAAAAGTTATATAAGTATAACGAAATCAGAGATATATCTTTTAATTAGATTGGTTCGTCTAATTTAGTATTTTTATCTGAAGTAAATTTACTAACCTCTTTAATAAAGGATTTGAACAAGAATGTGTCCATAGTACATGAATGCCCCATCCGCACTATCATTTTCTATGTCCAGTGGACCGTAAGTTGTGGTCAGAACTCTTATTTGGCATTAAATTAGAAAGATCATATCATATGGAACATGTGTACTGAGTTTCAAGTTGATTGGACTTCAACTTCATCAAAAACTACTTTAACCAAAAAATTAACCTGAAGCGGAACAGACGGATGAACGGAAGAACAAACGGACGCACAGACCGAAAAACATGATGCCTATAAATGGGACATACATTCACAAAATGTGCTGAAATTGAATGAAGGTCTTGTAAATCTCAATTAGACCATAACAGGCATATCCAAATAAAGTTCCCTGAAGTCACAAACAACTTCCCTCACTTGTAGATCTATTTCCACTACTTCTGCAATATTGTATTTATCAATAATAATATAAATAGAAATTGTATGCATGTAAATTAAAAACGATCAGGGTAAACTTATCAATCCTTTAAATAAACTTATTTTAAAAGGTTACCAATTGAACACTGTAAATAGATCTTTGAATATTGTTTTTATTGGTATAAATATAAATTTTGTTATCAGTAACTTAAAATTATACTACATATTATTGTTATACACATCAAGGTACTACAATCTGTTGATACCTATGCTTTGGCATTGCACAAGGTCATGTCTTTCTCTGACTGTTAGTGACGTCTTTACACTAAATTCATTGGATGTTGGATGTGTACTGATTGATATTTTAGTCTTAGATACATGATTTTTGTATTAGTTGTTATTGGCTTTAAACTAGCTGTCAGTACTGCGATTACTCTCAGATCTGTACTTTGTGTCCTTTTTTGTTTGTTAAGGATGTATAAATACCCTGTCTGTGCTTTTGTTAGATGTTTTTTTCTGTTTTGTATCGATCTGATATGTTAAGCCCTTTTCAACTGATTTTCATAGTTTGTTCTTATGTTGTTCTGTAACAAAACTCGTCCCAGGTTAACGGGAGGGTTGAGCGCTCACTTGCATGTTTAACCCCGCCACATACTGTATGTGCCTGTCCCAAGTTAGGAGCCTGTAGTTCAATGATTGTCGTTTGTTGATGTCTGTCATATTTGTTTTTCGTTTTATTGTGTTATAAGTTAGGCCTTTTTCTCTCAACTGAACAGTTTCATATTTTTCATGTCAGAGCCTTTCATAGCCGACTATACCCTACTGGTTTTTTTCTCATTGTTGAAGGTGGTACGGTTGCCTATATATAATTGCTTACATCCACTTCATTTGAACTTTTGGGATAGTTGTCACATTGGCAATCATACCACATCTCCTTATTAAAATGTTGAGGGGGAGGGGGGGGGGGGGTGAAATTTGTATTTCTTAGGAAAGTTCCAATGTTTTCCTCCCAGGTCACCCAGTTTTAATTGGACATTTTCTCATTTTGCTGTGCCCTTGGATTTGTGTTTAAGGCCAACCAGAGCTTACTGCCTGTTGGTGGGTAGTTGAAGGCCATATGGTAAGCTCTAGGTGTCTTTTTGTGTATTGTATATGTTGATGATGTCTTCATGCTATTGTCCCATTACTTTATATAGACAGCTTATCAGTCAACCATATCTATCAAAGACGACAAATGATGACCAAAGCTCTCCTGGCCTTTTGTATAGTCAGGCGAGAAACAAGATATAAACGGACTTGGATTGGTATAAACATGTATATTTAGTAAATTCGTATAAATTCAAGTCAAATTAATATTTCAAAACAACATAAAAATATAAAAGTGTAAAAAAAAATTTTTTTAATAAATCTTGAAAATATTATTGTGTTTGTGTGTGGCCATGGATAAAGGCATGTTTTTCAGTCTGGGTTAAAAAAAAATATTGACTTCGGGTACAAATCCCTGCCCCACCCCAGAGAATCAAATGGTTGCTTCCTTGGGAACAAAAGAGATTGAAGATGTTGAGAATGAAGGTCAGGTAATAATTTTATGTTCTGCGGCGACGTTAAAGGAACACCAATCAGTCAATCGATCTTTATGACTATGGCTTCAGTTGTGTAATATTCCTTGTTGTAAAAGTTCCTTTTCTGCTTTGTGTAGACTTATTAAGACTTGGAATAGATCTACGATGACTAATGAACGGTCGTGTATGGTTTGGCAATTTTACATGCCTACCAATAAAAAAATTGACAATGGAAATGGGGAATATGTCAAAGAGACAACAACCCGACCAAAGAACAGACAACAGCCGATGTCCAGATATGATACGATGCTACCGGACATAGAAAAAACTGTCCTTTTTTCATGGAAAATTAAACTGTTACAGTATATTAAAGAATACAAAACTAGCTTTCTTTTCTGTAAATACAAATAAAAAGCTGACATGGGTGAGATTAAAGCTAGAAATCCCAATCCCCCAATTCACTTAAAAAGACCATATATAGATATAAGAAGGTGTGGTATGAGTGCCAATGAGACATTTCTCCATCCAAGTCACAATTTGTAAAAGAAAAACCATTGTAGGTCAAAGTACGATCTTCAACACGGAGCCTTGGCTCACACCGAACAGCAAGCTACAAAGGGCCCCAAAATGACCAGTGCAAAACCATTCAAACGGGAAAACTATGCAACGGTATAATCTATATAATAAACAAGAAACGAGAACACTTATGAACCACATCAACATACGACAACTACTGAACATCAGGTTCCTGACTTAGAACAGGTGCAAACAAATGCAGCGGGTTTAAACGTTTTAATAGGTACCAAATTCACTCTTATCCGAAACAATAATGTAACATATGACCTTTAATATTGAAGGGCTAAACTTGTAATGAGCCGTGTTTAGGCCCTAAAATAGAAAATAAAGAGATGTGCATGGGACAAAATCGCACACAATACATAGAAAAAATACAAATTATCAATGAACAGGGCTTTTATTCCTGTTCTTCATCTTGAAAGTAGCTGGAGGGTCTTCAACGAGGAAAAGAATCATTCATACCCTGAAAACAACAGCCACACACTTGTCTATGTGGATTACAATGTTTTGCTTTATCCTACACCCTGGATTTTTTCTCCAGAAGACCTCAGGTACCCAATTTCCCTTTGCACCTAGTGCGGACAAAAGTATTGCCGTAGATTTTTTTTATTAACTTTTCGGTAATGGTGTGGTAGGGTGGGTAGCTGAGGTCTACTTGAGAAAAAATCCAGAGTTATGTTCGGCTTAGTCTTTTTTTATAATGTAATAAGCTGGCAAATTATGAAAGCTCATGTCTTAATTTAATAGGCATGGAAATAAAAAGAAAACGTATGAAAACCAATAAGATTCTACCGGAGACAAAATAACGTTTGTTTAGGCAACTAGTATGATGGTCTGGATGCGTATTTCTTCATTTCTGTATTCTTTGATATTCTATTCCATTTTTCTCTATTCTTTAATCAGTGTTTCGGGCCATTTTTCTCTATTCTTTATCATGTTTATTTCTTTATGATTTTTGCTAATTATTCTATTCTTTTTATATTTTAACACCTTATTATTCTATTTTTTTTTTTATTTCTTGGTCCATTTATACCGAGTAGGCTCCGAATGGCAAAATGATTGAATGCTAATCCCGGTTTGAATTGTGAAATTGCGGAAATTTGTTTTTCAATCAACTGATCAAGCAAAACACATTATCGTCCTGAATGTTCGTATAATGGACCTTGGTTATGAATTCTAATCATCTGAGATCAACCTTTCTAAATTTAAAAGTAAAGATCACGCACCCTTATTGTTCAGATTGATAAAGCCTTTTGCATCCGTCGACATTATCTTCGATTAAAGATCTGATAACCACAGTGACTGTGCACATGTATACTTTAACGACCGGGGTAGTTTTCTTATAAGTTTTTAAAATTTGCAACCTCCCTTGTTAATGTGATGTTGTAATCAATCTATTTATTTGTACCATATTTATATAATATTATATTGTACAATTTAAATTTATGATTCGTTTAATATTTAAATATAATAATTTATTTTTTATTAAAGATATAAACAAGGTAATTTGAAAGGCTTTGATTCATTTATCACCGTAGTTCAATTCATAAGTCAGGCGGTCTATTTTGTCTACATTATGTTGAAAGAACACCGGGGTGTTTACATTGGCATTATTTACTTTCAATGACTGTGAAACAAGAAAGGAAAACATTGTACATTATAAAACGAGAAATAATTAAGATTAAATACAAAATTCTTGTTTAGTGAAATCAAAAACGAAAAACGGAAACACTTTTGATTTTCATTTTGGTTTTAGAGAAATCAAAAACAAAAAAATGAAAACACTTTCGTTTTCCGTTTTGGTTTTAGAGAAATTAAAAACGAAAAATGAAAACACTTTTGTTTTTCGTTTTGGTTTTTGAGAAATCAAAAAAGAAAAATGAAAACACTGTCGTTTTTTTATTTTTTGTTTTTGATATTTCAAAATGAAAAACGAATGGACGCAAATATACACGGACCTTTGAACTGCAGCATTTTGCATTTTTGCTTTGCAGAATAAGGAAACATGCATCTAATGGCATATGTTTTGGTGAGATTCTTTTAATAAAACTCATAAGGAATAAATGATATTTTCTGAAAAGTTCTGTTGGTCTTATAAGTAGTTTTTGCTAATAAAACTAATAATTACTCGTTACTTTATGCTTAGTAGTTATAATAGTTTTATATCTCTTCTGTAAAATAAAGAAATAAAAATCTGTCATCTTCATCTTTCGTAACATCTGATTGCGAACATGTAGAGTGACTCTGTGTGGATTGCTTTAAAGATACTTCTGTAGAACCAACTTTACTGAAAATTATAATAACCAGTTATTAGGTATTGGTAAAACCATATAAGGGTTTTCTTTCTATTTAATATAAAAATCATCCGTTTGTTTTAAAGGTTTTTGTAAGGTCGGCTTAATTCGCACTCAATATTTGCAAATTTTAAATTCAGTTGTCGTTCTTATTTTGGATATATTTTCAATAAATGTACAATGTCTACTGCACTTGCTTGCTCATTATTGGTTAAATCTTTGTTCACGGATTGTGGGAATGTTTGGTATTCAATATCTTTTTAAACTATCATTTATTGAGTGTTAGTATATTATTATTATTTTCCTTTTTGATTTAAAAAAAGAACAAAACGTTAATAATGCGGCTTTCTCAATTAAGTTTATTGAACTTACTAATAAACAAGTGATTCGATGTTATCATTTTTATTAAAAGCTGCATATGATTGTATTTTATTATATTAAGAAAATTTCTAATCTTACATTTAGGATCCTATAGAAGTCAATTACTATGTAGCTTTACAGTGTTTATATTAATTCGGTTTCTTGTGCTACTTATTTGTGACTTGGTAAAAAATGTATTGGAAATACTGATTTCTGGCGTCAGGCCGTATAAATAAAGTTATCAATGTGAGCTATATAAAGATAATCAAAGTTTACCTCTAAGATCTTGATTATTCTCCTTATATTTTTAC